GCATTGTCCTTGAGCTGCCACTGCCAGGCACATGCCCCAGCTGTGGAGTTTTCTGCATCTCAGGACTCGGTGGTGGTTTTGCCCTTCAGGCTGTACCTGTGCTGTGTTGCTTGCAGACCCCTCTGCTCACCTGTCCCGCACCCAGTGACCTGTGACTGCCCCGGGGACAGCAGAGGCTGTCAGGGTGAGCGTGTGCCACCCCCAGCTTGCTGCTGCTGGGACCAGGACGTCAGCATTTGATGATCTTTCTCCCTCACTGCTCATTCCCCCTGAGCTGTTCCCTGCTCTGGCACTGAGGAGCTGCCCTGCTGCAGGATGCAGATCCCAGTGCTGGTCCAGACCCATTCCCTGCATCCTCCTCCTCCCCAGTGACACTGTAATTGCCATTTCAGGCAGTGCACAGACTCAGCTGAGCTCAAGGCAGACCTGGCCATGCACTCAGATGCAGGAGGGTGTGCAAGACCCTTTGATGCAGGGCAGTGCTGACCCTGTCATCACAGGGTAGGGAGATGACACCATCATTCCTCTCTATGGCATCAGGCTTGGCACACCTCCCTCTGGAAGATCCTTTCAGTCCATCCAGCCTGGATACCCAGGCTCTGGCAGTCTGATTGTTTTTAAAGAGTCATACAAGGACTGCCAGGGAGAAGGAACTCACCTTCTGGGGTTAAGAGGAGATGAATCCTGCGCTTAGCACGTGGTTGGGGCAGGTTTTACTGGAGCCCAGAGAGCCCATGGGGCTGACCTGTAATCACAGCAGCTTTATTTATTGCTCTGGGTTGCAGTGGCATCAGGCCTGGTGAGGAGCTGCCCTTATCTACTGACGTCAGCCTCCCTTGGAGAGAGATCTGGGCTAGATTTATGTGGGAAAGGTTTGCAGCAAGTCCATCCACAGCTGGTCTTCGTGCCTTGCCTGCTGCCAAGGAGCCCAGGAGGTCCTGAGCAGGACAGGGCTCGGTCCAGCTGGGAGCAAAGCAGCAGATGGACTTCAAACAGCAAACTCACGTCGGGTTTTCTGAATCCAGTGACCAAAAGCTGCTCCGACCTCTGTGGGAAACAGCAGCCCAGGGCTGCTCCTCCTGCATGAAACAGGCTGTTCCCTCCCAAAAATCCCATTTCTGGAACAACCAGTGCTTGTTTTCTTGCCAGTCACCAGCTTCTCCGGCTGCTTGGAGTTGACAGGACAGCAGCACAGGTCAGCTGAGGCAAACCAGCTGTTCTGACCCATTTCCCAGCCCCTGGTGGAGCCGAGGTGTGTTCCCAGCATGACCTGGTGGCAAACACCACCAACACCTATCATTGCTTCTGCTCCTCCAAGCTGAATTGCCAGAAACACAACCCTTGGGTGCTCAGTCTTGTGAGGAGGGAATCCCGTATCTTATTCTGGTTTTTTTGATGTGATTTCTTCCCTGGAGTTGTGCTCTTGATAAGAACAGAGACTCAAGATCAGAGGGCGTCTCTGTGGACTCTGATCTCTGGGGTGGGGGTTGAGCCAACACCCTGGGAAACTTGAGAGTCCAGCTTTTTAAAGGCTTCATTGTACAGTCCACAAAGAGCTACAAAAGCCATAATAAACATGGCACCAAAGGTCAGCTCCCACACCTGGAGTGCCTGAGGGTTGGAGCCAGTTACTGGGATGCCCCAGTGTGACCCCAGCACTAACATGCCCACGTTGAGGACTGGCAAACCAAGTGCATCAGGAGATCCCTGAGCAGCCCCATGTGCATCACTGGGACCTGTCACCCTAATCCTGGTGCTCAGCCCTTGCTCATCACCACCCCATCCTGATCCTCCAGGGCTGCTGACCCTATGGTTGTGCCTGTCTTGCTCTGGTCAGGGTCTGGAGGCTTTGCTGCAGCAGCAGCTCCCAGGGAAGGCAAATCCAAGCTGTTTCATGACTAAAATGAAGTCCTGCAAAGCCCACTGGGGTGAGAAAGGGGTCACAACCCCCCTCATGAGCTACCTCCAGGGTCTTTGGCCAGACACAGGATGAGCCATCTTGGACCTTGGACACCAGTGCTGGGAAGAAAGTGTGGACCTGGGGAAGGCCAGATATGAACACACATGCCTGGCTGAAATGCTCCCTTTGAGGAAAGTCTTCCTCCCCTATTAAGTAATTAAATAAAGCTCCGGGCTCTACTAAAATTAAAATAACAGAATCCATTTATTCTGGCAGGGCTCGCTGGTGGCTGCTCTTGCCAGAAACATTTTTGTGGTTCTTGTCTTTTCAAGTGGCTCTTTTGCAATAAAACCCAGATGCCATTAGTCCGAGGAGGCCTCCAGGCAACTGTTTATGTCCATGAAAGATGCCCTTTGTAATTAATTAATCTCCCCAGTGCTGTGGTAGCACATTCCCGGGGCTCCTGGTGTGTCCCTGCCTGCTGGCCCGGCAGTGGAGGTGTTTGTTCATTCCTGGGCACTGAGGGACACTTTGTGTTGCAGCTTTGCCATGGAAGGGGTTAATCTGCTCCTTGGGAAGGCACAGCTGAGATTTCAACACTCACCAGAACACAAACAGAGGTCAGTGCCATCCTGCTGCCCTTGTCCTGCTGCTGGTTCAGTGGCTCCTGCTCTTGCTCAGGAGCAACTCTGAGTTGCAGGAGGCTCTTACAGGGGCAGGGACCAATGGGGACTAAGCTGGCAGGCAGTGGGGAGGGGGGTATGACCTGGTTCCTTTGCCCTTCCAAGGGTTCAGGTGCTTCCAGATGACTCAATCATTGCAGGGCATCACCACCACATCAGAGAAATGTGAGTTTGATGCATTTGGGGGGAAAAAGGTGATTCATAGAATGATTCATAAAATGGTTTGAGTCAGAAAGGACCTTAAAGATCATCTTGCTTCAACCCCCTGCCAGGGGCAGGGACACCTTCCACCAGACCAGATTGCTCCAAGCTCTGTCCAACCTGGCCTTGAACCAGGGATGAGGCATCCACAGCTTCTCAGGGCAACCTGAGGGCCTCCCCGCCCTCACAGGGGAGAATTCCTTCCTAATATCCAATCTAAACCTGTCTTCTTTCACTTTAAAGCCATCACTCCTTGTCCTATCTCTCCATGCCCTTGCCAAAAGTGAGGCTGCCCTGAGCAAAACCCCATCCAACCAGCTGCACCAGGCCAGAGCAAGGAGACTTCCAGCCCAGTGCCTCCTTCCAGATGGTGGCTGGTATCAGGTGTCCAGAGACAAGTGTATGAAGGCTGGGGATTGGAGGTCTCCTCCTGTTACCTCCTCCCAGTTGAGGGCAGTAGGGGCTGGGGGCTCCTCATGGCTCAAGTGGCTCAGGGCCTCCCACATTTCATTGCCACCACTTTATTTCAGCCACCATAAATTTGGCCAGTCTGTTTCTGAACCATTTATGCTTCTGGCCCTCTCAGCATCAAGTGATGGCAAATTCCACCGTAGAATTATGTGTCTGCTTGGCAAGGGCCACCTTTACTTCAGCAGCGATTCCCTTTATGTCTTCACAGCCTTCAGGACGTGTGAGAGCTCTCTCATACCCCTCAGCTCGTTTATTCTCCATCCTGAGTGGCCCAAATTCTTGGAGTTTCCCCTAAAGAGGAACCCTCAGCAAAGATCTGGCTTCTCTAGGACCATGGCTTTGCTCAGCCTCTGTGTAATATGGTTGCAAAGGGAATTGCTTTGGGGAAGGGTCATTCCTTGCTCTCTCATTTGTAACATAACAGCCCGGGGTTTGGTTGTTATTGGTGTTTTTAGCCATTGTTGGCTTTTCATTGTTGCTTTTTTGATAGATGAGTTTAATTTTGCTGGCATATTGCACAGGTTTGCAAAGCAGCTGTTGCTGCTGCAGGACGGAGCAGTTCATCACTGAGCACGGGTGTCACGGCCTCAGAGGGGTCAAAGCTGAGGGCTCAGGGCGTGGGGGGCTGCAGTTGCCATGAGAACTGCTGGTGGCATGGCAGTGAACCTCACTGGTGCTGCAGCCACCTCCCATCCATCTCCCATTCCCCCTGGGAAGGACGGGACCGTCGGAACATCAGCTGCGGAGAGGGAAACGCTGCTGAGAGCCCGGAAGGCAGGGTGGGTTCGTGTAACCAGCTGATGGTGGTGTGAATCACTGGTGTTTTGTAGATGCTGGTCCTGTCTGGGGGTGATACGCAGGGTGATGTGTGTGAGGGGATGGGATGTGGTGTGGCAGGCAAGGAGGAGCAAGGAGAGGAGCTGGGAGTGCCCAGGAGGAGCAGTCGGATGCTCATATGGCTCCTGCACCTTGCCTTGCTTAACATGGAGGGCCTCAGGTTACCCTGCTCCCAGATCCTGTGGTCCTTTAGCAAACCACACCCATTCCTGGGCCAGGAGGGCTCTGAAGTCTCACAGGGACATTGGAACAGGATGGACCCTGGCCTGAGCCCCAGGTCCCCTCCCACTCCCATCTAGGACAGCTTCCCGAAGCAGCCTGTGTGTAGGATGTCTTGGGGTGAAAGAAGGAAATTGCTGAGGTCAGGGAGCTGATGTTGCACATTTTTATGTGCTGCCACCTGGAAAATACCAAAAGATAAAGTCTTGCATCCGGGCCCTTGAAAATTCCTCTGTCCTGCAGGAAGGGAGTGTCGTTAGTCCAGAAATTCACTGTTATTCCAGGGAATTTAAGCCACTGTGCAGGAAAGCCCAGTGTGGGCAGGGAGGAATTTAAAGGGATAGGGCATTAGGATTGTGGGGATGTGCTGTATTCTCACAGTGCCATTGCAATGAGGGAGGTGGGATCCCATCAAGAGGGGAGGCCTTGAAGAGGCCAGATGAGTTCAGGTCTAATTCCAGGTAAATGGGTAGGTAAAGGAAGCAGGAAATCAGGAACAAGCTCAGATCTTTGCAGAATCAGACTATTGTGGGTCTCCTGAGAAGGAAAGAGCTGGGCTGGAGGTGTGAGGCACAGGACCATCCTGCCCTTGGTACCTGGGACACGCCCACAGCACTGCCCACACCCAGCTCCCCCACCCCACGCAGGGAGTTCTGGCACTAACATGTCCCTCTGTCCCCTTATCCCAGGGACCTGATGCCCAGGACGCTGGAGGGGCAGATCACCATGGAGAAGACCCCCAGCTACTTCGTCACCAAGGAGGCCCCAGCCCGCATCTCCTCCATGTCCAAGGGCACGAAGCTCATCGTGGTGGTGCGGGACCCCGTGACCAGAGCCATCTCGGACTACACCCAGACGCTCTCCAAGAAGCCCGACATCCCCACCTTTGAGAGCCTGACCTTCAAAAACAGGACTACGGGCCTGATCGACACCTCGTGGAGCGCCATCCAGATTGGCATCTACGCCAAGCACCTGGAGAACTGGCTCCTCTACTTCCCCATCGGGCAGATCCTCTTCGTCAGCGGGGAGAGGCTGATCAGCGACCCCGCGGGGGAGCTGGGCAGGGTCCAGGACTTTCTGGGCCTCAAGAGGATCATCACCGACAAACACTTCTACTTCAACAAAACCAAGGGGTTCCCGTGCCTGAAGAAGGCGGAAGGCAGCAGCAAACCCCACTGCCTGGGGAAGACCAAAGGCAGGACCCACCCCGACATCGACCAGGAGGTGGTGCAGAGGCTGCGGGACTTCTACCGGCCCTTCAACATGAAGTTCTACCAGATGACGGGGCAGGACTTTGGCTGGGACTGAGCCTGAAAAAAAAAATAATTTAAGAAAAGGAAAATATAATATAATATATATATTTTTTTTACGTATCAGTAGAGAGGGGCGAAATACAGAAAAAAAAATAATAGTTGTGCTGAAACATGATTTGCTCTGATTTGTTCTTTTTCTTTTATCGCTGCTTTGTCTTCTTGCTTCTCTCAGAGAAGAGGTGATGTGTCCACCCTCCACAAAAAGGAGGTTGTGAAGAGCAACCTGGTCCTGTCAACATCACCTGCAGCTTGGCTGCTTCCTTTCATGGGCCCAAGGTTTAGCACTCCCTCTGTAAAAGAAATGCAGGTGTAAAGTTCTTAGAAGTGAGAGGGTGCTTGGGGGAGCTCAGGGTCTTCCTGAAAGGTCATCCGGATTTTGGCTTGCAAGTGCCATTTTAGGCCAGACCTCGCCGCTTTTGACAATAAAACAAAGGAGGTTTAATACCTAATTTGGCTTTCCAAACCTTACCCTAGGGGGTTTTTTATTGCATGAAACATTTGGTCAATTTTTCTTCATTTATCCAATTCTTTGTTTTACCTTTACCCCCACTAAATCAAGCTCTTTTCATCAACCAAACTTCTTTTTCCTCTTATAGAAGCCAAAACCAATAATCCTTTGTTTTGTTTTGAGACAAAATAATTTTGGTCGCCAAAAGTGAAAGGAAACAAATGATTCTTTTGACTCTGTGATGAAAATTGCCAGGTAGTCAAAAGGCCTCATTCACAGGAGCTGGCTCTAAACCAGAGTTCCCTATTGCATCCCTTTTGCTACACTGACAGCGGGATCCTTTTCCAAGGGGGGCCCCTCTGAAGGGGTTTTGGGGATGGGAAAGTCCACAGTGAGAGGATGCTCGTGGCACACCAGTCTTGAAGGTGATGGGGGACCCACCATCCCACTACACGTATGTAGGAAACTTCTTGGTGTCTGGCAGATGCAATTTAAGCCATAATGATGAATATTTTAAGTTGGGCCAGTCTTAAATACAGTAGAAGAAGGGTTGGTTGGGGAAAAAGTCAACAAAATGCATGTCCAGAAAGGGGAATGAGAAGACAATAGTTCTTTCCTAATTGAGAGCTGAGTGGGAAGCAGGAACAAGAGCATTTGTTGTGAAGGGCTTTAAAAATTGCCAGGCAAAACTAATCTCCTTTATCACCTTTTTTTGGCTGATGGAAATGTCTCAGCGACAGAAATCTATTAGTGAAGCAGGATCTTGTGTTACCATGGGCTCATTTATCTGCTGGTTCTTGATCTTCAGCATTTTCTGGACTAAAGGAGTACCCAATTATCTCTTGGTGCTGCATAAACACAACAGGAGGGTGAGTCCAGCTTTCAAAAGACCCTGATGGGGTAAAACAAAGTGGGAGATCTTCTGGGAATCTGGTTAAGAAGAAGCCTGGGGATGAAGCTCACTGGCTGCCTACACACCAGCCAGGATCTTAATAAAATCACAACAGAGCAGAGATTTCAAGGAGTCCAAAGAGAATTGATCTGAAATTATGATTTAACCCGAGAGGGAGGCATTTCCACCTTGGCAAGTTAAGGAAAACAGCTTGGATGCCACTCAGCCTCATGGCACCAAGTTCACTGCAGGTGCTGAGCCACATTCCCTCCTGGCTACTCCAAGCCACCTTCCAGCTCATCCTTATACACCTCCCTCTGTTCCCAAGGATGCAGAGTCCTGGGACCTTCCTGTCCCCTACAGACACAAACCCTCAGGGTTTCCCAAGGCAGGCCCATTTCCCAAGGGAATTAAAATAACTTCCCTAGTGTTGCAAGGCTCCAGGAGCTTCTCCCACTGTTGTCATCCCAAAGCTCTACCTGAGCCCAGGTTTCTGTGTCCCGACTGGTGGAGTGATGGGTTGGTGGCACCAAAGCTGGGCTGTGCTCAGCAGCTTGTCCTGGCCTGGCATGGCTCAGTACCACCCTCACTACCTCCACTGATCCCTTCACCCCCTGCCCACCATTCCTGTTCCACTGTGCCCCTTTTTAAGCCCCTTTTTGGCAGTGTTCATTTTGCCTAATTGCCTTCTGCAAACACCTTGTGGCAGAAAGGCACACGAGGCACCACACACAGACCCCCAACAGACCTTTCTCTTTCCTGCTCCCCTTCAGCCCCTCAATGTTCATGCAAGAAATGACCCAAGAGCATCAGAGATGGTCACACAGCTTTGGCTCTGTGGGGTCATGGGCCCTTCCAGCTCAAATCAGAAGAAGCTGGAAGATTCTTGAGCTCTTGGTAATGGTCTCCCCAGTGTGTCACTGGAGGTGAGGGGAGCAACCTGCTCTCTGCCCGTGCTGGACAGATCGGGGGGGAATGGGCTTATGGTGTAACCAAAAGGATTGGGGGCAGTTATTGGGAAAAATATTCTGAAAGCAAAGCTTGTTGGAGCAGGAATGGGAGATGGACACCATCCCTCCCACTCTGTGCTCTTCCATTCAAATGCAAAAGTCAAGGTGGCAGCGAGGACAAGGTATTGTTCACTTCCAGGCACAACCAAAATGTGCCAGCACCAGTGAGGCACAGAGTCTGAGGTCTTCCCAGCTGAAAAAAGGTTTAAGGGTGCCATTTCTTTGGTATTTAAAGGAGAACTAAGGTTGGGATAATAAGTACAAGCCTTGGACAAGCTTCCTTGGTTTAAGCCCAGCTGGGATCTCAGCCCCACATCGCTGTTCATTCGCTCCCCCAGTGGGATGGGGCAGAGAATTGGAAGAGGAAATCTGAGAAAACCTGCAGGTTGAGATAAAAACAGCTTGATAGGTAAAGCAAAAGCCATACATGCAAACAAGGAATTCATTCCTCACCTCCCATGGCAGGCAGGTGCTCAGCCATCCCCAGGACAGCAGGGCTTCATCACACATAACAGTGACCTGAGAAGACAAAACACCACCCCTCCAAAAATCCCCTCTTCCCTTCTTTCCCTGCTTTTATGTATTGACCATGATGCCATATGGTCTGGGATGTCCCTTGGCTCAGCTGGGGTCAGCTGTCCTGGCTGTGTCCCCTCCCAGCTCCTTGTCCATCCCCAGCCTCCTCCCTGGTGGGGTGAGGAGCAGAAAGGGCTCTGACTGTGTGTGAGAACTGCTCAGCAATAACAAAAACATCCCTGGGTTATCAATACTATTTCCAGCACAAATCCAAACCCTAGTCCCATACCATCTCCTGTGAACAAAATTAACTTCACCCCAGCCAAAACCAGCACACAAAGATAAATATCACTTATGGGTATGATTTTAAAAAAAATCAATATAGTTATATTGCTGTTGTCTCCCATACAGCCACATTTAGACTCCTATAAAGCAGCTTTAAAGTGCTGCAGATCGTTCTGCCCATATTTCACAAGCCACAGCAATACCAAGCACATTCATACAAATGAGTTTCTACAATTGCCACCAAATCCCTCTCAGTAAATCAGCAGAGCTTTGATATGGTACCCAAGGCCATCATATGTGCCTTTAAAAAACTCTTCCCAGCGCACTGAACCCGGCCACACAGACATACTTTCCCCTAAATGCTTGAATGTTTTACTTCCCCTCATTTCCGAGGGTTTGATTCCCTTGCTGCACACCTTGTAAAACTATTTAGGGATCTGAGACTGTGATTGATTGGTTTTGATCTGGGCCCTAAGTATTTTTGAAAATCCTTCCACGTATGAACAATGGCTTTTAAAAAGAGGTCATGCAACCAAATTGCTTTGAACTCTAATAGCATTTAAGCCCCTAAACTCTTTAGGCTTATTTGAAAATCCAGCCATGAAGTTTAGATTATTTTAACCTAAGAAGAATTGGAAGTAAACTGTTGAAAACCGCACCCCTCGTGGGCCTGCAGTGCTGAGCATGTGCATTGGAGGGGAAAGTAAAAGTAGCTAGAAATAAAAAGGTGACTTGTAAAGTGCTTATTTATTTATTTATTGATTGATTTATTTTATTTATTTATTTAGAGCAGAAAAATCAACACATTAACTATGAGATACTAATTAAGTGTATTAAAATGCTTCAGGTCTCAATCATCAAATCTGCCATTAGGCACTGATGAAGCTTAGGCTCATATGCCATGAGACATTTGGATTTTAGAACATTTGTTTTAAGACCGAAACAAAAGCCCCACCAACCTTTACAGGGCATCCTGCCAGGATCAAATGCCAAATCCATCATAAGGAAGTTTTTTTACAAAGAGGGTGGTGAGGCCCTGGCACAGGTTGCCCAGAGAAGCTGTGGATTCTCCATCCCTGCAAAATGTTCAGGATCAAGTTGGCCTTTAAAGGTCCCTTCCAACCCAAACCATTCTGCGATGCCATGATCTTTGAGTAGACAGACACAGCCCCATCTCCCCCACTTGCAGCACTGCCCCGGTGCCCCTGGGGCTCTCTGGGGTCTGCACAGCACCTTGCCCAGCCCCACAAATGGCACCACAGCCCTCCTGCACTCAAACCACCAGGAGCTTGGGCTCAGGGGTGCTGAGCACAAGGATTGCCCCAAAGTCTTCCAAAAATCACTGTTTTTCTTGCTGTTGGTGACATGCTTTGGACAGGCTTGTAGATTCAGAGAGGTGATTGAAGGTGAGACCTCCCTTTAACCCAGTGCAGCAGCAGCTTCCAGCCAAACCCGAGCTGTGGGACGGTCCTTTGCACTCTGTTTCCACTGGCCACACCTGAAAAATATCAGAGAAATGGAGTTTTCTTTACCAGTGAAGTTTGGCAAGACAAAACCAGGCCCCTCTGCTGCTGCAAATTCCATTGCTGCCATTCCTGGACAGGCAAGGACGAGGCTGCTGTGCCCACGTTGACCTTGGAGCTGATTTTGTGGTATGAGGAGTTTAACCAACTCCTCTGGAAATGCTGCCAGTCAATAATTTACACGGTTAGAAGGAATATATCCACCAAGGTGCCTCGAAGGTCAGTGCTGGGGACTCCTCTGTGTGGTTTCAGGGTGGTCTTTGGGGGTCAAAGTCAAATTCCCAGTGATGATTTGGCCTTGCCCACCCTGCTCAGAGTGATTTTGACCCACACTGATCCTCAGCCTCCTTGGTTCTCCCCCACTAACCCACACAGTGTC